GGCATGGCAGCAACTGGGCTCTACAAAGCCTTGAATTGCATCTTGCAAACATCAACCTTTGTGTCAAGACTTGTCATTCAACCTTGCGAGTTTAATTTATTCCTCAATACAGAGAGAAGACCGGCATTCGAAACGATAGCTGTTGTAAGGTGCTTGCCGTCCTGAATACTTTTTGTTTGCTTGAAAACAATGCTTAATTAATATCGTAAAGTTTTATTAGGAAAGTACGCTGTTTCGCACCATACCTAGAAGTGACACGTAGCGAAGAATTTGAATGTCCATGTGAGAATTCTTAGGCTGTGGCAGTGTTGTCAGATTGAAAATTGATGCACGAAGGCGCCGCGCGGATGACGTCATCAAGGAAACTCTATCCTAGAAGTATTGCTTATTATTCTTTAAGATTTTTATTTCACTATCAACTCTTTACCTAGAGTAGTACAATATAGAGAACAATAAAGGTGCCACTGTGTTCCTGTTTTGAGCTTGAAGAAGTCGCAAAAATTCGTCACGTTTTCTTGGGAAGCCAGTGACGATAGGATTTTCTGCATGCTATTAGTCTCTCTAACCCTCTCGATAACCCTTGCACTTAGCTTATTATAAAACTTTTGGGACTCAGATAAGCTCGACTGAAATCACTAGTAAAAGACTGTGCATTATTTCAGTGGCATGGTGGCCTGAGGGCCGGGGGGGCACGTGCTCGACCAATGACCAGGAATCAAAGGCACCACAGACGAGCCAACTCTGCAAAGACCACTGCACATATTCCCCCTCCGAAGGGCATACCGTAAAAACCAGACCCTAAGACCCTGAGACCTAGGACCCTAAAGTACTAAAAAAAAAAAGGACCCTTAAAACCACAAGGGTCTTCACCCCGATAAGACAATAGTTGATCAAGGTTGACTGTCATCATCGCACCATGAGGACACATAAACTGTCAAATGCGCTTTTGCTCCTACTACGGCGTTCTTCCGCACATTATTCACATCACATCACCTGCTGTCTCCAAATGAGTCTGTCATGGAGTCAGACAGCGACAAGGAAGTTTACGGCAGCCTTTTGGGCTTCTTCTAGTTTTCTTTTCTTTTGTTCCCTTTGAGAGTGGTTGCCACAGAACTGTCGATATTTTCCTGCAAACTTTGCACAAATCTTTATATTAAAAAATATGTATCCTGAAAACCTCTGCCATTGGATTTTAGAAAAATAATTAACAAATAATTCATTGAATTTATTTTTATGCAGGAATTTTTGAAGCTGACCTCTGTTAGTAGATATCAGTTCCAGAATCATTTCGTCTATTTTTTCTAATTTCGCGTCTATTTTCAATGGCATCTAGTTTTTTTTCTTACTGATTTCCTGAAAGTTCAGCCAAAAAAAATAAGCTTTAAAATTTGCTTTAAGACATTTGTCGATTAAAAACATTTTCTTGTGTATAAGAAACCAAATTGTCTTATTAAAAAGTTTCAAGTTGCGGCTACATACAGTTTGCTCTTAGATATGCCAAAATTTAAAATTTCTCACCAAACCAAATTTACAATAGCGCTTTTATAGAAAACTTCTGTTTACACCCCCCACGATTTGCCAATAATGCTATTTTTTCAGAATAGGGAGAGCAGAATCCAAAAAAATCACGCAAAAGCGACAAGCAGCAACCAAAGGAAGTGCAAAGAAAGTGCCTGCATCTTCATCTCTGAAACAGGCCTTGATCTTGATCTGTGTCTCTTCTTTATGGTTGACTCCAAGAGGTTAAACTACTTTGAAAGATCTTCAAATTCCCTGTCACTTTCTGACTTTTTGAAGTCAGCAGCTGATGTGGATAATATGCGGAAGAACGCCGTAGTTGGCACAAAAGCGCATTTGACAGTTGATATGTCCTCTTGGTGCGATGATGACAGTCAACTGCGATCAACTATTGTCTTATCGAAGTGAGGACCCTTCTGGTGTTAAGGGTCCTTTTTGATGTTAGTACTTAAGGGTCCTGGGTCTTAGGGTCTTAGGGTCTGGTTTTTACGGTATGCCCCTCCGAAGAGGCGCATATTTCGATACAGTGAAGTCTCTCTCTCTCGGCTCTTTCCTTCTTCCTCCGCACTCCCACGCAACTCCACCTTCTCCGCAATCAACATAGGTAGCCCACTGTTTAGCTATCAACGTACGACGTTGCTAAAACGAGGAACAAGCGGAACAACCTAGTAACAAGCGGAACAACCCAGTAACAACCCAGGAACAAGCGGAACAACCCAGTAACAACCCAGGAACAAGCAGAACAACCCAGTAACAAGCGGAAATGTGAAGTTATTGTTTTGTAAATAACACATGGGGGCGTTTATAAGCCAACTCTCTAAAGTTCGTGTGGGCTAGCACGTGCACTATCAAGAGGCCGTCAAACACTTCCGTTATGTAATTTTTTGACAGTTCGCGGCCATTTTCCCTCCTTTTCACACAACCGTACAAAGTTTGATGGATCAGAAAACCTGTCGTTGTGGTTTTTTACTCGAATCAAACACCGACATAGCAAGGCAAGGGCTGGTACACAAAAAGCCCAAATTGAGGGGTCGAAAATTGAGGTGGGGGATAATATTTAGAATATATTAATGGCAACCGAAGGGGCAAAAGGACCGGGGGGTGTGGGGGTGTCACACCTCCCCGATAGTATCTCAATGAGAAATTTCAGGTAAAATCTCAATAAACAATAAACAAATGTTGCCAAGTTTGTACGAGAAATAATCAGACAAGGCAAAAAATTGGAACTTCTCCTGTGAACTGAATCGAAACTCCATTTCTAGGCATAGATTTTTTACTCATTACTTTTGATTGTACACTTTTAATTGTCGCATTTTTTATGTTGCTAGTGTTGTTTTATCTGCTGCAAATTGTTGCTTATTATGTTTGTAAGAAGAAGCACTCGATTAACGTAAATAGCTGATGTAAGAATGGCTCTTCAACTAAGTGTATTTAGATAAATTAATTTTTTTATGATGATGATGAAAACGCCAAACATTGGTTGCGTGTTTGTCACCTTGCCATCATTAGTTCACGATACTGCGCCATTCAATCGCCTGGGGAGAAAATGACTTTGATGTACCTACGAGAAACTGATGGTTTGCCCAGAAATAATTTTACTGAGGCGGAAAGTTGACTTCTTCTTTAATCCAAATTATAAGTTGTAAGAGAAATTAACAATAAATATTTGAAATTAACCACAATGAAGTAAACAGGCTACTTGCTTTTTTTTATTAAAAAGATATCTAGGCCAAGATGGCCTCTAACGTAATTGCAACATTAAT